GTTTTGTAATTGCTACTGTATGTATGTACTTGTCTTGTAAATGCATATCAATTCTCACCATGATGTAAATATTATTGCAAGTTGTGCCCTTGATTGCAAGGTGGACTTTTCCTTTAGTTTCTTTCTTTTGAATCTAACTTTATAGTGACATTTGTAAAACGTAAATGCTCGAAATGAATTGTATAAATGGATTTTGATTTACAGCCTCTTATGTTCCACTTCTCCAAATGTCATGTCATCACCATGGTAAGATGTTCAGTAAAGTCACTATCACTTTCACCCACATGTTAAAAGCTATATTTTCATGTTTCTCTTTTCTTGGAGGGTTGAACTATTGTTTATTGGAGAGTTTTGGATGTGTAGAGGATGGAGTTGAGTTGTAAAGTTTTGGTTGGAGAGTGAGAATAGGATACAAAAGTCAAGTAAGCCCTATACTTTAACTTTCATTGGTTACCTGTTGACTAGGCATGGCAATGGGTCAGGGCGGGGCGGGTATTGCAAGACCCGGACCTGCCCCGTTACTTGGCGGGGCGGACCAGGGTCTGCCCCGCCCCGTGACCTGCACGGGTCCAAACTTGTTGACCCATGACCCGCCCCATGCGGGCGGGGCGGGTCTGCCCGGCCTCGCCGCAACCTAATTAGCTAGTATGTATTTTTATTTGTGGGAAGTTGTTACCAATTGAATCTACATAATGTTTATCTCTAAATAATAATTAAAAATCAATATATTAAATCAAATTCATGATACGCTAAAAATTTCAAAAATTAAGGAAAAATTACTCAAACTTTTTTTTGATGATAAAAATTACTCAAACTTGAATAGTTAATCTAATTAGTTATATTAATAATTGAATATATGTATTAAAATTCTATATATAAAGAAGACATTGATAATACGTCGTGCATCTCATTATAACATATATTCATATATTATAAGATCAAAGAATTTATGATTTATTGTATACACACATATGTATGTTGAAGTATATTTGTAGTATAATTTAAGAAAAAGTGTGTATACTTATATATTGAGCGGGTCGGGGCGGGGCGGGTCGGGGCGGCACGGGTCAATTCTAATACCCGGACCCGCCCCATTGTATTGGCGGGGCGGGGCAGACCCGCCCCATTTGCAAGACGGGGCGGGGCGGACCCGCCCCAAATGTCTCGGGCCAGGGCGGGTCATTGCGGGTCGGGTTTTTTTGACATCCTTACTGTTGACGCGTGCACACGCAAATTGACGCAGCGCACATGCAGCAGCCCATGGCACCGTTTTCTTTTTTCTTTTTTCTTTTCCTTTTTTCCTTTGGCGTAGAGCCCTTTTTCTTTTTCTTTTTCTTTTTCCTTTTCTCTTTCTTTCTTTCTTTCTCCCATTCCGTCTTTCATCCTTGCGCAGAATACATCCAATGACTCAAGATGGATGACGGAAACGAGGAGAGGAGGATGACGATCGAGAGATGGTGACGGGCATGATATCTACCCCGACCAAAGAGATCGGACCACTGACCAAGGCATCCATAGGGCACAACGGCTACATAAGAAGACTACTCCAAATGAGGACATGCTCACCGGCCTTAAGGAGTGGGGAGTTGGGGGGTTTCGCCTCGACTTTCCATCTATGGACGGATAGAAATGCTCTTCTTCATCTCAAGTATTTTCGGTGAAGGGAATGAGGGACTCTTGATGGAGTATATGGGTTCGAATCCATGACCTCCACACTTACATGACATTCCGGCTCATCTTAACAAGCATCAGATAACATCCTCAGTCCAAAGCCACATATGATTGAAGCTTGAAAGTACAACAAGCATCTCATATTGTTCTCATAAGGATTAACCAAGGATCAGAATGTGCACCCTCGTCCTTTGTCCCCTCGATCGAGACTAGATAAATAAATCCTCTACGTACAACTAAAGACTATCTCTTGTGGACTTCTCCCGTATGCATTCAAACGAGGATGACATGCATCCACCAACGGACACAATATAGATACTCACGTGCTATCCACACACACGCTGCAGGTAGTAGTAGACTCCCTTCGTATATTGTATTTTATGTACCATATTTCTTATTCTATACCCTATTTGCTACTATCTCTGTCTCATTTTATGCGTCCTACTTTGTTTGATATTTTAAGTATAAAAAAGTGAAATGTTGTGTAGACTACATATTTCTTTCAAAAATGAAAATGTAACACTTATTTTAGGATAACACAAAAAGGAAAGTAAGACATGCAAAATGGGACAGAGAAAGTAGTTTTTCTAGTTGAAAATATTACATTTCTTCAATTGTTGGATCGAATAATATTATTGTGTGATATTTTAATGATAAAGTAATTTTAAATACCTAACATTTTAGGGATCTCAACATTTTATTGGGCAGCAAGGCATTTTCCCATAGAATAGTAACGCATGTGTAGTGCATTAAACATATCCCTCATTCATTACTACTATAAAGAGGGTGTTTGGTTAGCAACATATCAACCGTTTTTTGGCTGATTTGATTAATATTTGGCTTTTTAACAGATAAACAGCTAATATGAGTGTTTGGTTAATTGACTTTTTCACTTGGCTTTTTATGACAAACAACCAAAATAGAAAAGCTAATGAACTTGGCGTTTAGGGTGTTGGCTGTTTGAATTTCTTCTTTAAAATTCATGTTTAAAATTTTATTTTTATTAAATAAAAATGGATTAAGTAATTGTTCTAATTATTATATTATCAAAGTTTGTGAAACACATACGGAGTATAAACTACTCCGTAGTTAGGATGTTTTTACTTGAACTGTAATTTGCTGGTCTGATCTGGTCTGATCTGGTCCGGTTTCTTTGTATTTTTATAACTACCCAAGTTTGGTCTGGTCTGGTCTGATCTGGTTTGGTCTGGGACAAATTACAGTCCAAGTAAAAACATCCTTAGTAAACAAAACAAATTAATAGATATCCTTAAAAGTGATTTAATAAGTTGTCAGCCGATTATAAACCCTTGTTTAACCAAACACTGTTGTATAAACAGCTAATACTATCAGCTAATCAAAATAGCCAACAAAATCCGTTGTCACCAGTCATCCAACAGAATTAGCCAATAGCCAACAACCAATTGCCAAACAACACAATTGCCAAACAACCCAAAGATTCTCACTTAGAATAGTTTAAAGCTAAGGTTCGATTATCATTTATTATAAATTACTTTCTTTATCTATCACTTAACTTTGTCTCTTTTTAAAAATATCATTGTCGGTTTACCATATGCTCCTTCCGTCCTTCTCACTTTCCTTTTTTGGACGTCCCATTAGAAGGTTCTTATTTCCATTTTAGAAAACAATTAACAATCTTAAATGACAAATTAATCAGTAAATATTAAAAATATTACATTTATAACATCACAGTTATCATTACTAACTACATTATAATATATGCCTATTAAAATAATTTCTCAAAATATACTCGAAGTGCTTTATTTAATTATTGCCTAAATAACCGTGTCATTTTGCTATGGGAACCTTTTAACGGGACGGAGGTAGTAGTTTAATAGTACTACCTTTGTCCAGTTGACGGTCCTCATTGCAAAATGACATAGTTATCTAGATAATAGATAAATAAGGTAATTCAAGTTTATTTTGAAAAATAATTTTAATTGATATAAAATATGATATGATGGGGTTAATGTTGATAACTGTAATCTTATAAATTTATTGTTTTTAATATTTGATAAGTAAATGATCATTTAAAAGTGTTAATTGTTTCTTAAAATAGAAATGAGAACCTTTATATGTGACGTCCAAAAAGGAAAGTAAGAACTTTTATATGAGAAGAAGGAAGTCAGGGGCAGATTTAGGAATTTGAGATCCCCTAGGCTGAAAAGCAATTATACTATGTTTAAACATTAACGGAGTGGGTTGAGTATAAAAATGAAAATATTAACACCAAAAAATGGGAAAAAATTAAGTTACACCATGCTTGAGCCCACCATAGCTCATAGCCTATAAAATTAGTTTTTTTTTAATGAAAAACAACTTACTACGTAGTATTATAAAAGCATATCATTGGCCCACCTGGCTTACAAGATAATCAGGAACAATGATAAAAATACTACTCTGATCTGAGATAGACACGTGAGCCCTTGGTAACGCATGAGTCGCACGATTCGCAGATCGTCTTCAAAAAGAGATACTAATGTTACTCTTTGTTTGAAGTAGATGCCGAACGTCATCCACTATCAAGTCTGTGTAGGAATTCCCCTCCCCTCGCCTTATTCCTTGCACAATCTGTTGCGCATCCGTCTCTATTATGACTTCACTCCATCCTTCTCTGCTAGCTACACTGATAGATTCTCTAATGCCCATAGCCTCGATTTCCGCCGGTGACCACCCTACTTTCCTCGAACCGCCCCCCGCCTAAATGAAATCGCCTTCATCATTCTGTGTGATCCATCCCCAAGCTCTTATCTCATCTGTCATGTTCACCACAACTTCAACGTTAATTTTAATCACTCCACGCCTAGGCCTAGCCCACCTATCCAGTGCTCCTTGCCCCTGCTTTCTATGTTTGGCTCCCGTAACTTGAGCCTCCCTCCATGAAGCTAAGATACCCGCTGTCCCATTTATCATTGCCGCTGAATTAAGCCACTCATCTTTCCAAACCAGTCTGTTGTGCCTCTTCCATATACTCCACAAAAGCATAATAAATTTGGACTTGTCTTCTTTTTTCGAACCCTCAACCTGCTTCTTCACCCAATCTTCAACGTATCATTCTGGCTGCCCACAGGGGCGGAGCCAAGGGGGTCAGGGTGGTCAGCCGACCCCGCTGAAAGTTTAAGAGTATAGAGCTCTGAAATATCTTCGATTTGATATATTATGACCCCCGTAACTCATTACGAGTAAAAAGTTATGACTTCTGGAAAATCAGCACCATCTAAACATAAAATCAGCAAAATTTAATGCATACTATAGATTATTTTCCCAAATTTTAAAAATAGGGTATAATTCAATTAATACTTACGGGACCTGACTCAGAAACAGAGCAAAGAAAATCTATCTTATTGCTACGAGTGCCTATTTATCTAAACTGCATATGAAATATTCAACTAGGACATTGTTTAAAAACGCTCCACCATTTTCATTCTGTGTATAGGTTGAGTTTCGACCCACCTGAAACGTTTTTCTGGCTCCGCCACTGGCTGCCCAGATCAACCCCGACCGAATGCCACACCTCCTGGACTCTCACACAAGACCTGAGAGCATGATCTGATGACTCCACAGCTTCGCCACACAGTTTACATGCCGTTGGTAACTCCACCCCATGCCTGTGAATATTTTCCAACGAGTGTAATGATCCATCTAGCACTTGCCACGCTATATATTTAAATTTAGGGGGAATATGCATCTCCCACAAGGCCACCCCACCCGCCCAGCCCCTGTCATCTTGCCAGCCCGCCACCTTCCGGTAACAACTCCTGACTGAAAAGTAGCCATCTTTTTTCCCTATCCACCAATAACCATCTTGTCTATCTTGGAGACTAATTGGTATGCTTAGGATTCGTTCATTGTCTTCTTTATCAAAAATAGATAAAATTCTCTCTCTATCCCAATTCTTCCCTGAATAATCCCGCAGAGCTGCAACATTCATGTCAAGTATCCAGCAAAGTCGCGGAGAATGAATTTTCCCAATACCGCCCTGGTAGCCCCGCATCAGCCCACACTTGTACCTACCTACCATTGCCAACTCTCCAAAATTGATTGGGTCTCCACAATACTTCTCCACATCAAGGATTATTTCCCACCGATGCTTTGTAGAAAGCATAGTGTTGGGAAAATATCGAGCTTTCATCACTCGTCCCATTAAACTTCCTGTATCTGTTATCATTTCCACCCTGTTTGGCCAACATTTTTAAAATCCCTATAAAATTACTCCGTAGTTTTTTTTTTGATCGAAAAATTACTCAGTAGTTAACAAATGTCTTTTATCACTGCAAGCTTTTTACATCCCTGTGGAAAGTACTACGTAATTATTTTAGATACCCCAAACTCTCTCTTATGTTGATTATTAATTGAAATTGAAATTACAGTATTTATCAAAATCTCCTGAATCAAGTGACTGCTGTGTAGAGATGATGGTCGTTGCAGCGACTATAACGGTCCATATTTCTTCTTGTACGCACTTCTTGCCGAGTACATCCCGCCGGCCACATTTTCTGTCGACTTCTACTTCTGCTCCCGTTTTCAGTAACAGTAATCAGTACTTCATCTGCCGGAGGAATTCGATATATCTCCGAACATGCTGCTGCTCGGATTCACGGTCATCTTCCACGCGTGGTTTTGGCACCAACGAATCCAAGGTATAAGATTCCAAGATGGATCATTGGATCCAGTATTCTCGTCATTTTTGTTATTGGTATAAATTGAAGAGGACATATTGTTATATTCTACTTTGGTATAACTGATACTTATCGTCCCCAGGTCAAGAAGAATTCTTCTACCGGCAGAAAGGATTCTAGGTACTCCCACTATACGTTACTGCACTTACGTAGTTATGTGTGTGTGTGACTGTGTGTTCTAGGGTGTGGAAATTCTTCCAATTTTGGCACTGATGGTTTGCAGAAAGCCAGGAAAGATATTTAAAGGCAATTTATGTTTTATTCTGTGTGCAATAAAAACTATTTAGGGAAGAATAAATGTTGATGTAGCCCCTTCAAGTTCAGAGCTTTGAGCTTCTCGTTTATACTTGTACTTCTTTTTAAGAGCACATTTCTCATTTATGGATAATGTAGGGTCCTAGGATAATGTATGTACTCTGAAATGAAAATAGTTTCATATTGTTTAACTTAGCATAACCTTCTGAAAAAAGAATGATGTTTTGGCAGAAAACTTCCCTCTCAACAATCTAGCACCAACCTTACAAGTAAGTATATGTTTATACCTTGCACATTATTTACTACTTCATTTTTTTCTGCATCATTGCCTCGTTGGTTTCCTCAAATCCTAATTGCAGATTAGTTTCACTTTTAAGGTGTTTTGACTTTTAGGCCTCACTTGGTAAGTTGGTAGTATTGATCATTTTATTCTGCATACCAGCAGAACTACCAGAATAGCTCCTGAATAAGCTGAAATAGTAACCTTCGACTTACTTATATGGTCGAAATGATCAAACAGCCAAACACCTTTACTGCACACGAAGAAAGTTATTTTAGGAAGTGGAACAACATATTTGGAATCAACTTAATTTATGGCAAAGAGAGTAATTTTTCCTTAAGGCTATGGAAGCATCTTGGTGTTTCTTTGATTGGATTGCCTATGCTTTCCAGTCACTCTTTTTTCCCACTTGCAGAAGCCCCTGTTCTAAATACAAAGTCAACAAATAGTGTTTGTGATATTCAATTTGAGGAACGACTGCAAGCAATTAAAAGGTTTATTTATAATGTTCATATTTTAAGTAAATATGCCACTGAGAACAAAAAATTAACCAATACACAGTAACTGTTCGATTTTACAAGTGCTTCCATAACTTGGTTAGGTCAACATTGGAGCAGAAAAAAGCCGAGGAAGTAAAGCTGTTTGGAGCAATTGATTATGATACTCCAGTAGAGATCAAAAGTAGCAGAGTTGGATTAGGTACTAAGGTAGCATTCCTGACTTGTGCATAATTCTATACGAGTTTAGCTCTTCACCAAAACACGGATTAAGAATAGCAACATCATGGATTTGTACAGATTGGAGTAGGAGTCGCAGTTGTGGTCTTTGGGTTGGTTTTTACCCTTGGCGACTTTCTTCCCACTGGAAGGTGTGGTTTGAATACTCTAGCTGCAGAGCTATGTTTACTGTCAGTTTTGTAACATTCTTTCTAAACATCTTTTATTCTACAATTCCTAGAGACATACCAATATAGATCCAATATATTATTATATGCTTGAGTTTTTGTTGCTTAATTGAAAAAGTTCAATGTCTCAGAAATCAAAAATATGAAATGAAACTGTTAGGTGGGTAAGTCCTGATTAACTTATATCTCATAAATGTTACGTAGTATTATTTTCTCTAAACCATCATATCTTGTATTCCTTCACAAGCCAAATATGATCCTAATATAGCTTTTGGATGTGTAGTGTTAGTCCCACAAATGAAGTCACTGCAGCTGGTAAGAAAATATCAGAAGAAGAGAAAGCAAATCTTCAGGTAAAATGTTTGACATTAATTGGAGCGCTTTCAAAGATTCACTAGTACAAGTGTGAATTGTTTCATTCGGCTCGGTGATATAAAAAAAGATTAAATAGAATATTACCAATTTTTGTTGTACTTCTATCAAGCTTCTGTTTCAACCTATTTGAACGCTTTTGAATGTTAAAAGGGGCAGTTTTCACCTCATGTAATCTTTGTTATATAGTAGCAATATGTTTTTATATTCACAAAGGAAGTTTGCGTAGAGACATCATAAATGTGTTTAGTGCATGTGCACAATTATTTAAACATGTATCTAAACTCTTAATATGCTCTATGTAACATTTGATATGTGCATGTGTCTTGATGTACTGTTATCTCTCTATAAATTGTAGTGCTGATGTATGAGAAGGATGTTAATAAGATTAACTAGAATATTTACTGCATGTGTACAAGTATTTGAGCATTTGTCTAAAACCTTCATATGCTATGTGTGACCTTTGATATGCCTTTATCTCTTGATGTACTCCTACCTTTATAAGTATTGAACTATTGATCATGATGTATGAGAGGGATGACAATAAGAATAATAATATTTCCTCTGTTTTACAAGATGGAATTCATATAAGATTATTTTCAAGCTGCAGAAACTTTGCTTTTGCTTCTTTGTTCGATTACTTTATTTTTTTGTTTGCACTAGAAATTTATTTTTAATTCCTTCGAGTTGTCTCTTCTTCCCTTAAAAACTATATTACCTGTTTCTCTAATAATTTTCCCTGCTGATGATCTTGAGACATCATTTCCAACCGTTTTCGCAGAAGAGGTTGAAGCAGTTTGAGGACACCCTTGCTACATCCCCAGAAGATCCAACAGCCCTTGAAGTTAGTTGTGGACTTCTGTTATTCGTCTTGTGACTTCATACCGTATACTTCTTTAATTTATTTTAGCTCATGCTCATTAATTTTAGAGTAGTTTGTTAATCAATTGAGAGTATAGAAAAGAATTATTATAAGAATTTAACAGCCCTTATAATAATGTATAAGAATTATTAATTCATTAAATTGAAAAGAATTAGCATCATTTCCTAGAAGTTTCTTTTAGTATCATTTGGCATTTTTTACTTGTTCTCTAGATTAACTTCTGTGCCTGTCCTAAAATTTGATATGGGGGTTAACAATTTTTTTATTCTTTGATGATGCATTAGATGATGATAATAATAATAATAATAATAATAATAATGATGATGATGATGATGGTGATGGTGGTGGTGGTGGCGGCGGCGGCGGTGGTGCAGTTCCCATATTTGACATGACACCTTCTAAAATCTTCTCTGTGCAATTACTGTGATCTTGTGGTGCAAAGTACAATGCACTACTCCCACAATCCCAAAAAATAGTTCTGTTTGTTTAAGTGCAACTTTTATATGTACTTTTGTAGTGAACTCGATCAAGTTCAACTTATTCCAAGGTTTTATGGAGTAATTGCTTAGAACTGCTTGTGCTTGGCTTTGCAGGAATTTGAATTTAAAATGAAAGCTGACTTTTATACCAGAATCTCTTTTAATTCTCTTTAGTTTAACTGCTTGTGCCCATGGCTTGAGTTCACAACTCACAATTGTTATGGTGGCTTGCAGGGAGCAGCTGTGACCTTAGCAGAGCTAGGAGAGTACAATCGAGCCTCCTCTCTCCTCGAGAATTTGACTAAGGTTTGTTTTTCCAAAAAGTTTTATTACTTTGGATGGCAAAAAAAAGTGTTTCCACATCACAATATGATGCAACATAAGAAATCATCTGTTTGCCTTGCAGAAGAAGCTCAATGATCCTGATGTTTTTCGGTTGCTCGGAGAGGTTAAGTATGAACTTAGAGATTATGAGGGTAGCGCTGCTGCTTTTAAAAGATCTGCATTGGTCTGTATTTTACATTTATGGTTTCATTCAAATATTTTGTAGCAAATTATCCTCGCAGTTGTTGTTAACACACGGTGCTTGTGTAATGCCGAACGAGACTCTGCTTCCCACATATGTGCTAATGTTTTTTACTTAGATATTTTTTCGTTGATCATACTTATACTCGTTTGGTTTCGTTATAGGTGTCAAAGTCTACTGATTTTGATGTTCTTCGAGGCTTAACAAATGCACTGATTGCTGCCAAGAAACCTGATCAGGTTGGCGAACTCACTGCACTAATAGCTTCTCAGTTCTCGCATAAAAAATATCACCTCTGTCTTATTGTACATTGCCAACTTTGAATTAGGCGAGGAGTAAGAAAAGTAAAAATTGTGTGATTGAGGTTTGTGCAGAGGAGAGAATAATGTACAAAATCACAAATTAGTTACTTAATAGGAAAATGTCAAAGTTTTTGGGACAACCAAAAAAGGAAAGTTGGCGAAGTCCAATGGGCGGAAGGAGTATTAAATAAAAAATAATGATTTCATGTGTAAAAACAAACTATAATAAGGTTGATTTACTATTGGAAGCCATGTACAATTTTATTAAATAGATAATTACTTTGGAACAAAACTTTGGCTGAAATGTGAATTATTTTGGGACGTGAACAAACTGTAAATTTGTCCTTGCAATTGCAGTTACCTTCTAAACTCCAACAACATGTTTTATCACCAGCACTTAACTTCTTTAAGGAAAAAAATGTCTCCAATGCAGTGAATCTAAATTGCATTTATGACCCACATGCTTCTTGTGCAGGCTGTCCAAATGCTACTGACATCACGTGAACGCCTGAGTGAAGAAAAATCATCTGGTGTTACTGGATCTGACATCGATGACACCAAATCTAGTCAACAAGTAGATCCCATTCAAGTATGTTGAGTGAGAGGGAGGCTATTTTGGTTTGTTATGACGGAAAGTACTTTGATTTTGGGGTGTTTGTAAACCACTTTCCATCATAACGAAGACATGAGTTTGTGTAGAAAAGGATCAAAGTCAGATCAAATTATTACTTTTCACAAGGGGAAGTGGATCATATTTCACTTTGATCACTTCCCCAAAAAAACACCAAAGACCCTTATTCTTTTACTTTCCATGGAAACTGAAATGACTAAGGATGAGATGTGAAAGTGATTCTTTTTAAGCAGGTAAATGAAAGTCCACTACGACCACTTTCCAAGAAATGTATCAAACTGTGGATACTCCTCCCATTTACAATCCCCCCCCCCCCCCCCCCAATGTTTAGACTAAATGTTTCGCTCTAAACTTTAGTAATGTTTATAAATTAAGCCAACGATTTGTGATTGGGTTTCAAAAGGTTGACTTGCTTCTTGGGAAAGCCTACTCAGATTGGGGGCATGTCAGTGATGCTTTAGCTGTTTATGATAAACTCATCTCTAGCCACCCCAATGATTTTAGGGGCTACCTAGCAAAGGTTGTTTCTATGTTTTTTGTTGATAACACTCATATACCAACTTTGTGTGCCATGCGTTGCAGAAACTCAAAGTTTATTTAATATTCTTTGTGTTTGACAGGGTATCATTCTGAAAGAGAATGGAAACGTTGGAGATGCAGAGAGAATGTTTATCCAGGTGAGTATATGAAAGTGCAAGCTTTCTTTATCTCATCTTTTTTATCTTTTCTCATCATCATCATTGCCCCAGTGTGGCAAAGGCTCTCACCTTCGGTGGGGTAAGCGGATGTACCCAGTCTTACCCTTGTACTAAAATACAAAGAGACTGTTTCCGGATGACCCATAAGAAAAATCGCATCGGAAATTGCATGGAGTGACTGTTGCTTCATAATAAAGAAGCGCAGACAGTTTATCTTTTTTATCTTTTCTATCTTATCTTATCTTTTTATCTCTCTTATTTTTCTTATCTTTTTATCTCCAATTTCATGTGTTGATTCATGTTAGCCGGGCCCCAAACTCTTTGGGGACTAAGGCTTGGATGTTGTTGATGTAGTTTTTGTTGTTGTATCACATCCCCACATTTTAATTGCAACAACAGGCACGATTCTTTGCACCTGGGAATGCAAAGACACTTGTCGATAAATATTCAAGGTGATATTTGCACCACCTTTGATCCATGGAGATTTGTTTTGGTGACGTCATCCCCAAACGTTGACTATATGATGCCTTCTCTTGTAAAAATGTAGACGACAGATCGCTCCTGAAACATTTCTTGGAATGTGATCAAATTGGACTTACTCACTTACATAACCACACTGATGTATCCTTTTGTCAGAAAACATCTCGTGTGGATTCGAGACCAAAGTTAGGTTTTTCTTGTTCGCTGACATTGGCGAGAATGGTCAAGCTACCCTCGCCTTATTACTTGTCAGCCAGTTTTATTGACAATTAATGGTCGACCTTTTGACTCCACTTGTTGACCAGTTTTGACTTTTGATGACTAGTGGCCTACCATTGATTGAATATCTAGTTGGTGGACGACTAGTTTTGTCACAAAAAAGTGGTGGTTTGTCAAGCATGGTTTGAGCATGTTTTTTCAAGTACAACTATACTAGACTTGGGACGCGTTGTAGAATAAGCTACTACTGCATATTAATATACTTATATCAAGTCCTCTAACCAACAATGGGGACTGAGCTTTTTAGAACTCAACCTATTAACTCGCCCACCATTGTTGATATTTCATTAGTGTTGTAGTGAATTTGTGTTTTTGAACAATTGTTTCTTCATTCAACATCCTGGAAGATTTCACTCATTTCAAGTACATATAATGATGGTGCCTGAATGCTAGTTCCAGCAATCCAAATGCAGAAAAATGAGAATATATTCTGGTATTCCCAGGCGAGCTCTTTTACTTGCGGTTGTACTCCCTAAAGAATTCATTTCATGAGAGGGTGTAGGATTACTATCATAGGTTTCTGGAGAGGTGTTCTCATAACGTCTAGGTCTGGGAGAATAATCTTCTTTTTCCTTAATGAACTCTACTTTCAGTATTTATTGTTGGTGCTGTAATATCTTCTTCCAACTCTAATGTTGGTGCCTGTAATATGTTATTCTGTTTATGCAAGGTGCAACAATACAACTGGAGTTGACTACCTTTATCGGCCTCTTTAATAGTTTAATCAATGCCCCTGTCCCGTTTAAAAAATCAAGTACTACCTCCGTCCCAATTTATGTGTCTTAGTTTGACTTGGCACGATTATTAATAAAGTGGTTGAAAAGTAAAATTTGTGGTTGAGGTTTGAGTATAATACTACCTCCGTAACTTAAAAACTTTCTCATTTCAAAAGTAGGTAGATTAAGAATAGTGAAAGGAAATATGAATTATTGAGGGTATGGTGGGAAGATAGTGGAATAATGTGATGGAATGTAGGATAAATCCAAAAAAAGTAGTTGTAATAGTGTATTATTTTTAGAATTATTGACGGTATGATGGGAAGATTTAGATGTGGGAAGATTTTTTTGTTACGGACGAAAAAGGAAAGTGGGAAGATTTTTTAGTTACGGAAGGAGTAAAGTGAAATGGTGTAGGTCACATATTTCTTTTCAAAAAAGGAAAGTAGACACTTATTTTGGGACAATTCAAAAAGAAAAGTAGGACATGTAAAATGGGACGGAGGGAGTAACACATTTGGCTGTAGTCCAACTATAATTAGCCATGATTATTGCCTTCTTCGATATTATTGCAAATTCAACATCCTAATTTTGCCACAAATTGCTTGCAAATCCTGAAAATATATGTAGCAAAAGCAGATATCATACAATAAATGATGTAATCAAGGATTTATAGTGGCAGATCATGTTTGGTCTTGGTTGACTAAATAAATACTAGTCTCATTCAAAGATTTTCATTGCAAAGTTGTATGATTATTTAGACAATAATTATATATAAAAATCCGAGTATATTTTGAGAAATGATTATGATGAGTATATAATATAGTGAGGTTATTGATAATAATTGTGATGTTATGGATGTATTATTTTTAAAATATTTATACATTACTTTAGGAAATAATTATCACTCTTAAATAATAATAATAATAATAATAATAATAATATAATGGAGTGTCAATGATTTCTTAAAATAGAAAATTGAACTTTCAGTTGAGACGTCCAAAAAAAGAAAGTGAGTCCTTTGGATGGCCGGGACGTATGGAGTACCTTCTCTTGGCTAATAAGTTATCTCAGCATACTTTAGCGAGTATTTTCTACATCTATTTTAAAATGATAAGATATTTGCATAGACACTTTTCGATATTTTGTCATAGGATGATCCAAATCTTGTTATTGCAAGGGTGCTTGAAAAGATCTTATTGTTTACATCTTTGATATAGATGCCTATGTCATAGCCAGTTATGAGAGAAACATGGTTGAATGCTGACCTGGTGGGAATAATAACAGGGCCATGGCGATGTCACATGATGAGTGCGCTGACACGTCGTGTTCTTAGCTGTGTTATGAAAGTCTCTTCTCAAATCAGTGACTTTTTCTACAAATCAAATATTAATTGATCCAACTAAAGTTTCATATTTGAGTAAAATTAAATTTAGTATGGAGTATGGATAAATTTATGAGGCCAAATTTGAATATATGGATATTCTGTCTTATTTGTTTGTAGTTCTATTTTACCGCATTTTTTATGTTCTGAATGTCGGTGTTTGCACTCTCATAGTCTCATCTATGAAATACACCACACAAGCTCACTACCTCCATTACCATTTTACCCCTTTTCAACCACCGAACTGCTCCAAGTCCCAAACCCATATAGTGAAAAAATTAAGAAGAGAGTAAAATTATCTCAAACTTACTCCAAATAAAAAAATTAATGTAACATTATTTATGTATAGGTAAATTTGATATCGCAACTATCATGTTGAAGACACTTCTAGTTCTTATCTTTTAAAGAATTCTTGTTTCTATGCTATAACTATTTTGAGACACTCTTGCTACTTGGCTGTTTTTGTCATTTATCTATTTTGAGACCGTTTAGATAATTACATTGAAATTGCATTGAAAGCTAAAGTGACAATTAGAGCATCTCCGATGCTACAATGTGCACAGTACACATGTGACATGAGAGATACACACAAAAAATTGAATTTATGACATTTCTCTCTTATTCTATCCACGGTTTTATGTGTTTTTGGTAAGTTCTCCCCTGCAATGTCAATCACAATGTCTACATCTAGACATTGTGTTTGACATTGTGAAGAAAAACTTACCAAAATGATACAAGACCCTTCAAATAAGGAGAGAGATATTCTATTTATTATTTTTAATTGGCTATCTCTCATGACATGTATACACCGTTCACGTTTTAACATTGGAGATGCTCTTAGTGTCACTTGCACAATAGTTAAAGAATTTTGTTAGAGGTACCAAATACCTCATTTGTACCCCTTCTATGTGTGTGTGGTTCACAAAAGTCCAAAACATTAAATTAATTGCTCCATTTTAATGAAGTGCTTTTGTGACCCACAAGAGGAGTACAAAAAATCAATTAAGTCCTTCTATATGAGACTTTGTCCGGTCGTCGCGGTTTAGGGCAGTTCATCAAAAGAAATTGATGAAAATTTTTGAGCATCTTATTCATCAAGTCTAGTTTACTCATACCAAATTTCAGCTAAAAATTTAATCGGGAGCGCATTCAAATTAATTCGAGAGCGCAAAAATGCGCAATTATCTTCAAGAATTAATTTGAATGTGTTCCCGATTGAATTTTTAGCTGACATTTGGTATGAATAAACTAGACTTGGTGAATAAGATGCTCAAAAAATTTCATCAAAAAAATCCACCGGAAACTGCCCCAAATCACGACGGCCGGACAAAACCTCCTATAGGACTTAATTGACTTTTTTATAAAAGTTCGAGGACCCATTTGACAGTTTTCCCTAGTTAAAACTTAAACACAGTGAAAAAATTAAAAAATATGTGCCCAAAGTGTCCCCCATACAGGCCATACTAGTCAAAATGAAAGGGACTAAAAGTGAAAAAACTATCCCACCAATGACAGGTTCTTTTAGTCTAATAAAATTGATAACCAATGGAACATCATTTTCTCTAAACTTTCACATCAGTATATATAAAGCAGCCTAAATAGAATATGAATACAAATATAAATTATATCAACATGAGGAGGGATTTCATAAGTTTACAGGACGTTAACCAGTAATTCCAGTAAAAAGAATAATTACAAAAGGTTACAGTGAAAGTGAAATACATTAGCAGAATAGCAGCTTTGAGTAAAGTTGCAACACAACGGAATAGACCACATGCCTATAGCGGTTTGGTATATTTACAATTTTACATCACCTCCCTTTGGGAAACACAGAGCCCTGAAAAAGTGGTGGAGTAAACACAGGGAGGCAGTTTTGCACCAAGTATTCCTATCAATAAAACATTAGAAAATATAATTAGTTTATTAGTTTCCACATAATAAATATATACACTCCTTGCATAACAATTTTGATTAACAAATCAAAAGCATAAATTTGTCATTAAATCTCGATTACTCAAATTGCAGTAGTACCAAACAATTCATATACATTATCCGGTAAATGCACGCTTTAAACTAAAGCATTACTAGACAATTGCCCTCACCTTAGACAACAATTCAGTTGTTAAGTTCTATCATTAGTCTTCCTCATCCTGAGAGCGGGCAGCTTCTGTCACTGTTCAATAATTAAGCACCAGTAAGTTTGTCCCCCCAAAATAATTTTGTAATTAACCATCCATATATCATATTTTTAAGCAGTCAGCAGAGCACATCAAACAGGGTTACAGGGCTACCAGCATAGAGAACAGAAAAGAAGAACTGATAGACTGATAACAGGGAAAACAAACAATTAAAATATTAAATATGATCCAACACAACATGACATACTCAAATCATATATCTGGCACTTGATCATACATACTGACAGACAAATGTATTTAACGACCTTTTCAGAAAAAGAAGATGATCCGAACGAAAATTGAAAGCATGGTAATTAGTATCGTATGCATACGTATAAATCACAATATGCAACAGAAATGAACAGAAAATGTGTCTGAAATGAAATTGTAAGGCAGTGTATAGCAACAGATTGCAAGAATCGTGACTACAATACTGAACCACACGATTCGATCTGGTAGTAGGTTAAGTCGTCAAGAGTAAATTCTAACGGGTCACGCGACCCTTTCTTTAAAAAAACTTCTAATATTGTTTTTGTAACACTTTTCTCTTATAAGAAGGGAGTGAAACTTCTAATTGACTAAAACGACAGATTATATAGTCCAGAAATACATAGTTTTGAATTCCTAAACCTTGGAAACTTAATGCCACGAATGTTAGGAGAAGATCTAACAAAAAAGGAGATAAGAGTGACATAGAAAAGATAATTGGAAAACGCAGAACTATAAGAGATGGAAAGATCTGATTAGGAGGTAGAGGAAGAGGGTGAACTCTATGATGTTGATCTTGGGGAGAAGGTAGTTAGTACTTACAATTCATGTGATACAAATCGTGAAATGAAACCAGATTGAACCCAGGAGTATGAATTGTATACTGAATTGAAGTTGGTCTAGATAGAAGCATAAAACAATGAAGTGCATGAATCAAGATTTTAAGAATAGACCAAATGATTTGATTTGGTCGTAGTTTGAGCCTGAACCCACATCAGGTTGCACCGTGTTTCTCTATGATAACTGAAAATGAAAAACAAGAGCTTAAATTTGGAAGTTAGATTTCATGGAATATATTATCTAGGGGAAAACAGATAATCAGTCACTAATAACCAGTGTACTGATGAAAATGTATGATATTTTTGTTGTTTTTGAATTTTTTCGTGTGGCTCTGAATTGGCAGTCTATATGTGCTTTAGTACAGGGGTAACGCTGCATACATCACTCCCCTTACCTCACCGTAGGTGGGAGCCTTTGCGGCATTGGGGTAATGTTGTTGTTGTTGTAGGCTCTGAATTGGAAAATATTTTGAACATTAGGTACGATCTACGACCTTATGTTATTGATGGAGTATATTGTTATATACCCCAATGGATTAGACAAGATGGTCCAAGACACTAGCCTGAGTCACACATACGGTGGACCGAGGCCTTGCGCCAAAGCCGAGATCGCACCTTACGCCCAAATCTACGGTGGTGGACCTATTCCA